CTTGTAAGCTCTCGATGAGGCAACATCAAAATATATAAAGAACGGATCCAGAGCCAAAAACCCTCGGCGTCTCGGGGACTGCCGCCGACGGTTACCCCATCGAGGTATCAAAAACCTGAGGCCATAAGACTTCATGCGGGCGACCTCGAGCCCGAAAGCCCTCCACGTGGCAATGTTAGAAAATGTAAGACCTCCACGAGGCGTTATCAACAGTGTAAGACCTCCATAAGGCAATACCAAATCTGTAAGACCTCAAGCCAGGAATGAATTACACTTGTACCAAGTAACCTATTTGTAAGACCTCAAGCCAGGCATGAATTATACTTATACCAAGTAACCTATCTGTAAGACCTCGAGCTGGGCATGAATCATACTTGTGCCAAGTAACCTATCTGTAAGACCTCAAGTAAGGCATGTTCAAATTTATAAGACCTTACAAAAGGCATAATCCCGATCTTAAAGTTAAGGCTATATATTCGAACTTGTAAGGCCCCTAAAAAGGCATACCCTCGATATAGATGCCAAAGCTACTTCACTCGGGGACTAAAAGGCTATGGCCAAATACAATGACTACAGTCACAAGGCTGTGCCAGCAAAACTAACGCGACTCGGGGACGCCCGACCGTCGCCATAAAATCACGGGCCTTCAAATTACTTCAAAAATACTTCGAAAAGAACCGGTAGATCAGGCTACCCTCGGCATAAGCAAAAGAGTTTCGATCATGTTAGCTCCAAACAAAGGCCTTTAAATAATTCAGCCATCGAGCGAAACCTCCCGAGGTGCTAATTTATCACTACATAACGGCTCACAATCGAGGTTCTTATCGAACCGTCGAAGAGTCGGGTGAACACAAAAACTTTAAAAAAGTCTTTAACGAGGGAAACGTAAAGCCAACATTAGAGGTCGTACTGACCCAACGCGTAAATGGCACCGTCGCCAGCTTAAATTAAAGGTCGTACCGACCCAACGCGTAAGAGCCACTATCGCCAGCTTAAATTAAAGGTCGTGCCGACCCAACGCATAAGAGCCACTATCACCGGCTTAAATTAAAGATCGTGTCGACCCAACACGTAAGAGCCACTATCGCCAGCTTAAATTAAAGGTCTTACCGACCCAACGCATAAGAGCCACTGTCAGCTTAAATTAAAGGTCGTGCCGACCCAACGCATAAGAGCCACTGTCGCCAGCTTAATTAAAGGTCGTGCCGACCCAATGCATAAGAGCCACTATCGCCAGCCTAAATTAAAGGTCATACCGACCCAACGCATAAGAGCCACTATCGCCAGCTCATATTAAAGGTCGTACTGACCCGACGCGTAAGAGCCTACAGGCCAGCCCAACAAGCCTCAGGGCCGATTTGTAAACCTAAGGATTTTTCCTTGAAGTCCAGTCCACCTGGCTAATCACCGACAAACGGCTAAATTCGAAACAAGGAAAGACATACACAAGCAAAAAGAGATTCATGAAAGGAGAAAACCAGAAAGCTTCTCTTTATATGTATATATGAAAAATGCAAAGCTCCGTTCACAAAGTTCTCTAAGAACACTGTACAAAGAATCAAAAAGAAAAAAGCCTAGTCTACTTTCCCCTCGGGGACTGCGGCTTTATCGGCCCCTTCCTTATTATCTTCGGCATCGGACAAGAGAAACTTGGCATCGTATTCATCCGCCTTGGCCTGCTCTACCTCTTTCGAGAGATCGAAGCCCCTAGCATGGAACTCCTCGAGGATTCCCTCCGAGATTTGCACCGGGCATATTCATTGCTTCTACTCTCTCGATCAAAAGCCCCTCTCAGCTCATCTCGAGCATCAGCAATGTCTTTTAAATAGACGGCCACTTTCTTATCAGCCTTAGCCCGAATCTCTTCAGCTTTAGCCCAGGCGTCCACGACCTCGACCTTCATCTTTAAAAGGTCAGACTCGAGCTTTATAATCATGCTCGTCTGAACCGAGCTATTTTTACGAGCATTCCTGAGCTGCACCTCGTGGGAAGAAACCTTTGCCAAAGCATTCTTTTTGGCCGCAACCTGAGCATCTATTTGAGCCCTTAGCTCATTACACTCGTACTTGGCCTGACTAACTTCACCCCAAAGGCGTTCCAGGTCCTCCGCCTTTCTCTGCAACTAAAGTATCAAAATATTAATCTCCGAGGGTGGAAGAAGAAACATGCATCCCCTCGAAACAAAGGTTACCTGTCTCTCGAGGTAGCCTGCGTAGTTCCGACTTCGACTTGCCTCGTACCGTAGGTATACCAACTCTTTTGCCCTTTTATCACAAAGAAGCCTGAGGGATTTCGCCCCGTCCAAGGCCTTTCGCAACCTGGCTTCACGGCGGAGCAGCTCGGACTTGAGCCTGTCAAAGGCCTACGAAAACGAAGCTCAATGAGAAAATAAAAATGCAAAATACAAAAAACGCCAACAAAGTCAACCAAAGCTCACCACAGAACAAAGCCGCTGAGCCTCCTCAAAGGTTGAGCGTGCATCTACTGGCCTGGTTCTACCGGCTCTAATTGAACCGATCTCGGTGGGGACATGGTCGCTCGAGACCCCGCTTGATTCAGGCGGCCCCTGGCCTCGAACATCCCTCGAAGTACCTTCGACAGGAGATGAAGACGACGGCAGAAAACCTGTATCCCTTGAAGTACCTTCGACGGGAAAAGAAGACGGCGGCAAAGGAGGAGCCATCCTTCCTAGGCTAGAAGCCTCGGGTACTGCAAGCTCAGCCGATACATCCCCTTTGAGCCTCCGAGCAGGGCTTGCCTCGCTATGAGCATCATCACCATTCGGAGATCCCTTCCGTTTGTTATCATTCCTCAACCCTGAAGTCGACGATCTTTCCTCCTCTCCAAGGGGGCACAGTCTCATCTCAGGAAATTCTCCAATGCCTGCGGTGACGGAGTTAACACACATAAAAGAAAGTACCTTTCAAAGGGAATGAACCACGCAGCACGTACCGTGGTGTTTTTCCTCCCATCTACCCTTCGACAGGTCTCTCCACTTACGCCCATTGTAGGTTGCGCGACCTGCCTGCTTCCAAGTATAATCCGCCAGGTCGGGGACCTCATATGGCATCTACGGGATTGCTGTAAAAAAGGAAAAGGAGAACATCTTTACGGAGTCCGCCACTACCATGAACAAAATGATAAAAACACAAGTGTACCACTTACGTGTGAAATTCCATTTCTCAAGAAATGGCAGGAACTCCACAGGGATAACATCGACAGTCCGCACTCGGACAAATCGACTTGTCCACCCTCGGTCCTCATTTTCTTCATCGTCGATAACAAAGGGACTGGTGGATCGACATCGTAAAGCTATCAAGCCTCGGAAATGGAAGGGCCGGTACAATCTGATAAGATGGCTAAGGGTGAACTCGAGCCCGGCTTCCTCCGTAAATAACCTCATCATCACTACTATCCTCCAGAACGACGGGTGAACCTGTGCTAGGGTAGCCCGATATCTTCGACAGAAGTCAAGCATGACTCTATCAAGAGGGCCCAACGTGAAGGGATACGTGTATACATTCAAAAAAAACCCTGCGTGAGCCATGATGTTCTTTTCCAAGGATGGTACCTGCAGTACCACCTTTTCTCCCCATCCGCAGTCTCTCCTCACTGCCTCAAGGTGTCCCTCTCCTATTGATGAAATGGATCTCGATGCATGCTCCCAATGGCCTTCAACATTGGGAGGTCTCTCTAACGAAAAGTCCCTCTTCGAGACAAAACATCCCGAGGTTAGCTCGTCGAACGCCGACGGTGTACCACCGACCGAGCGGGAAGCAGAGGTGGAACTCTCCTCTTCTTGATAAGCGGGTTCGGGCGTAGCAGCCATAACTATGGTAAAACAGGGGAAGGGAAGTGAAAACCTAGGTGAAAACTTTGAATTGAAATGATGAAAGAGCTGACGCAAGGTAGGAGAACTCTTTAAGAAGGATAGCTGCTCAAAGTAGCGGAACCCTCAAAAAGGTGAGAGCAAACTCATATATAGAGCAAGCGGCGACTGTCCGCCTACTCTAAAGGCTAATTAATTCTAACTAGGTCATTATCACTTTCGGGGGAGTGTACCGGCGGGATCGTCCCGGTCACTTCATGACCTTGTCATACGAATGACGCTGTTTTACAGCGTTCGAGGGGTCAAAGATTCCCATGTCAACCTGACCTCGAGATGGTGCCCGATCTAGAGGATCTATGCTACCATAACGATGGGCTCTAAGGAGCCATCAAAACCGATCTAGCCTCGAGATGGTGCCCGATCTCGAGGCTCTCTATCAATGTAGAAATGGGCTCTAAGGAGCTATCGGCATCGACCTAGCCTCGAGATGGTACCCTATCTCGAGGATCTCTACTATTACAAGTACGGGTCATTCACCCGATTCTTTGGCCCCAGGCCTACCTATGTCCAAGTCAGTTCTCACTTGAGAATTATCAATAAAGCCTCAGGGCTATCTTCGCCTTCAGATCAATTTTAACGCTCTCTCGGTTACTTTAGCTAAGGGGCCATCTATAAACTCCTTAGGGCCATCTTCGGTTTGAGTTCGAAGCAAGTTTTCAAGGCCGCCCGAGTTCAAGCAAACTCTCGCTCGGGGACTATTTGAGAAAGTCTAAGGGCTATCTTTATTTTCAGATGATCGAGCAAACTCTCACTCGAGGATTAGCGACAAGGCCTAAAAGGTCTACCCTCTATTTCAAAGAAAATCGGGACCCTACTCTCGCTCAACTCGAACTCAAATGTCCAGGCGACCTAAGTTCGTACCGGACCAATCCAGACTCAGTCCGAAGAATGACAAAGAACCTCAAGAAATATCACATCCGCCAATCGAGAACCGAAGGGATTACGATGTCCGGGTTCAGTGTTCGAACCGATCAGGAGTAAAAAAGAAGTTCAGTACAAGCCAAAGGCAAATCAAAGAAACTTTTATGTTGATAAAAGATGATTACGAAGGCCCACGAGGGGTCCATACACAGAAACAAAGAAGCAAAAAACAACAGTCTAAAAGCCTAATCTACTTTCGGAAGTACATTCTCGAGAGTGACATCTGCGAGAACCGTTTCCTCGGGGGTCCCATTTCGATCTTCAGAATGACATCTTCGAGAATCTCCTCCGAAGCAGCAATAGATGAGGAAAAGGCTATAGCCTATCAAAGAGCAAAAGCTTTCGACAGATAGGGAAAATTGTGGCTTGGTGAAAAATTTGGCGAGTACGGGTCTCATCAGCACTACTATTGTGAAGACACTTCTTGAGACATCGCACCGATGTGGGATGCAACAGTTAGTAGATGACGCCACCTCACTCCATGGAAAGAAAAAGGAGTGAAGCGCCACACCAGGTTGAAGTTAAGAGAGATGAGCAGCGGTTCACGGTCCACATATCCTCTGATACGGAGGTAATCTGAAGCCCCTCTCTCATTATTTCGGGCCAAGAACAACAACAACATTAAACTAGTACGATCCCACCCAGTGAGGAAAAGCCCTGAAGAAGAGCCATGGCACAACTGGCAAAACCGCTGCCATGTGACCTTACGGTCACAGGCTTGAACCATGGAAATAAAAGTTTGGATGAAGATGAAGAGAAGAAAAGGGTTAAAGGGTGTTGAAGAATGACTGAGTGAAAGTTTGGTTCAGGTAACCTCCCATTTATAGAAAGGTAGTAACATAACCGACGACGCAATCAATGCCTTTGAGAAACGTATCAATAGGCGCAATCAATGCTTCTTGGGAAACGTATCAGCGGCGATACCACCATTTCTGGGAAAATAAACCGGCAGTGTGTTGAATACTTTTGGGAAGATGAACTAATGGGATGTTTCAGTCATCATGAAAGCTTACGTCATAAGCATGACATCATCGTGAGAGGCCTGAGGATGTTGATGTCAAAATCGTTTCATATCATTCCATTCTAAGAAACGTGGGGACTACCTGTATATGACTAAAATCGGAGAGTCCGATTTTACGATCATTTCAGCATTCTATAGACCGCCTTCAGAAGGCCCCAAGGCACAACTCGAGTTTCGACCTCGAGGGTTCTCTATGCTCAACCTCGGGGCAGTGTAGATCGACGGCTATCTCGGACAAGCAGGAAATTCCCAACGGGCACGTGGTTAAAGCTGACCAAGTCTACAAGAATAGTACAAGTCCATACCGTGACATTAAATGGCTGTACCAGCCGTTGATCTTTGTAATAAATGGCTGTAGTAATAAATGCACCTGTACTGTGTTGGGATTCCCCCTCCTATATAAAGGGGATCCTTGTCATTTTTTGCACACACAATATTGAATACAAGAACATTCTCTACTCTCTAACTTGAACACATTCTCCCTTGGTTTTATTGCTTACATTTATTACATTGCTTACATTTATTGCATTTCAATAAATCTTTCTTCATTTATTGCTCATTATTGATCATAAAGAGCCATCACCAAGGCCCTTAGAACTGTTAGTCCTTCATTGGCCGTTCACAGCCTAGCGCCTAGCTCGAACTCGAGGCCCCGTATAAGCCAACTCGAGGTCCCAATTCTCAGCCAATCGGTTTGCTTGTCACACTACCTTCAAGCTCTTATCCTATTTCTTCGTCTCATACTTAGCATCTACTGCTTAACAACTAGCATAAAAATAGATCACGTATTTTTAGAATCATAAAATCAAATTTAATTGTAATTACCATTTTCAAGGTAAACAACTATATTGTGTTTGATGCCTTCAAAAAATGTAACTTGTACCACTTTTGTGACATTCTTTGATTAAGTCAAATCACGAGAATTGAGGAGCACAGGTGCATCCTCACGCATCTGATGCTTTCGATAGTTGTAATATGTACTTTTCAAGCTTACTACGAGAGAATAACTAGTATTAGCACATGTTTTCTTCTCAAAATTTGAAATATTTTTATTTACAATTTAGTGTACTTCTATATTCGTTTAATATATGTACTTCTTATAAATATTAATTTGCCTAAAATACCAATACATATTTAAAATATTTATTGAAGGATTTTTTTCTCTTTTTTTTTCTGAATACTTATTTAATGATTGCAAACACAGTTGTATCAAATCATCCATATAACTTTAATCTGTGCCCATTAACATTAAATTTATTTTCTCCATTTACTTTGTCATCATCTTCCTGTTGTTGGATCTCAACTGCTCCATAGGGTGTGACATTTGTAATGAGGAAAGGACTAGTCCAACGAGATTTGAACTTTCCTGGAAAAAGTTTTAATCTACTGTTATATAGAAGCACCAAATCTCCAATCTTGAACTCTTTTCTCTTAATCAAATATTCATGCCATTTTTTTAAATTTTTTCTTTGAAAATCCTTGCATTCTCATAGCTCATTCACCTGCATAAACCCGTTCTTTGCGGTAGCAGTTAGTCCACAATTTAATACTTTTACTGCCAAGGCCTTATGTTCAAGCTCAACTGATAAATGACAAGCTTTTTCAAAGACTAATCTGTATGGGAATGTAAGAATTGGCGTTTTGAACGCCGTTCGATATGCCCATAATGCATCTTCTAATTTCAAAGCCCAATATTTGTGAGAAATTCAGATCGTGTTTTGAAGTATTCTTTTTAATTCTCAGTAGAAACTTCAACTTGTCCTTGTGTCTGAGCGTCATATGGTGTACCTGTTTCATCAGTTACACCACATTTTTCCAGTAACAAGGAAAATTTCCTGTTCATGAAGTGGATTCCTTGATCACTAATTATGACTCGGGGTGCGCCAAATGTGGTAAAAATAATTCTTCTTAGAAATTCACGCACCGTTCAAGCATCATTGTTCCTTGTAGGAATGGATTCAACCCATCTTGATACGTAATCTACCACCACAAGAATGTATTCATAAGAATGTGACGACAGAAAAGGACCCAAGAAGTCTATTCCCCAAACGTCGAATATTTCACAAACATGTATTAACAGCAAAGGCATCTCATCTCTCCTCGTGATGTTACCTGTTCTTTGGCATCTATCACAAGTTGCAACATACGTTCTCGCATCTTTTAAAAGTATAGTCCAAAAGAATCTCGCCTCTAAAACTTTAAAGGTGGTTCTATTTGCTGCGTAATGACCTCCCACAGCTCCATTATGGCAATGATGCTGAATGTTGTTCATTTCTTCTTTAGGTACGCATCCTCTGATGATATTATCTTCACAAATTTTAAGCAAGTAACACTCATTCCACAGATAATAGGTAGCATTAGATATAAGCTTTTTCCTTTGCTGTAAGAGAGATCTTGGGGTGTCCATTTTCTAGCCAAGTAATTTGCAATATCTGTAAACTAGGGTGGTTGAGTCATAAATGAGTTGACTGAAAAAATGTGTTCATCAAGAAACTCTTCCTTTATATAACAAGATTCATGGGGAGGATTTTAATCTAGACAAATGGTCAGCTACCTGGTTTTCTGTTCCTTTTTATCTGTATCTCAAGGTAAAATTCTTGAAGAAATAAAACCGTATTAACAATCTAGGTCTAGCATCCTTTTTGTTAAAAGTTATTTTAAAGCTCCATGATCAGTAAAATTAGTGACCTTCGTTCCTATCAAATAGGAATGAAATTTATCAAATGCAAATACTACTGCCAATAACTCTTTTTCTATAGTTGCATATTTCAGCTGAGCCTCATTCAATGTCCTACTCGCATAGTAAATGAAACGAAAAATCTTATCCTTTCTTTGGCCAAAAACAGCTCTAATAGCTGTATCACTAGCATTACACATGACCTCAAAAGACTCGTTCCAATTAGGGGACACAACTACATACGCATTTGATAATATTTTCTTAAGAGTGACAAAGCTTTTATGCAATCACTTGAAAAATCAAACTTAATATCTTTCATCGAAAGGTTACTAAGCGGTTTAGAAATCTTTGAAAAGTCTTTTATAAATCGTCTGTAAAAACCTGCATGACCAAGAAAACTTCTAATTCCTTTAATAATTGTAGGAGTGGGTAACCCTGCTATTAGATCAATTTTCGCCCAATCAACTTTTATTCATTTAGCAGTAATTTTATGTCCTAAAATAATTCTGTCAAACCATAAATCAATATTTTTTCCAATTAAGAATTAAGTTTGTCTCTTCCCATCTTTTAAGAACTAAAGTCAAATGGTGAAGACAATCCTGAAATGTTTTGCTAAAAAGTGCGAAATCATCCATAAAAATCTTGATGTTATAAACGTCAATACCACACAAGAGGGGGGGGGGGGGGTGATTTGTGTGGTACCTAATTTTCGCGTTAGAAGAACCTGGTTCTTCTAAGTGTTCTAACTACAGCAGTTTGCGGAATAATAAATACTGAAAGTAAAGTGCACAGAGATTTTTACGTGGAAAACACCTGGCTCAAAAGGTGAAAAAAACCACGACCTACTACTCAGTAGGATTTTCCCAAACTCCACTAAAATCACTGAGCCAAAAACTGCATTTACAAAACTCTTTGTAAACCTAAGGATTAACTCTAATCCCAGTGTAGCACACAGCCTCAACTGTTGCGACATTTTCAAGTTAACTCTAACTTGAATACTCAGAGTACCTAATACAATTGCTTCTAAGAAAGCTGAAAGGTACAATATGAAAACCTACTACAATTGAACTAGACTTAGAATAAACACAATGATGAAACTGGTTCTTCTATCTTAGTTCATGTAGCTTCAGACGTGCACACTTGTATCTCGCATATGTTGCTTGCAAATCAGACTTGATCTTTTTGCTCTCAAATATGCTTAACTTCTGCTTATGTGCATTACCTGTAAAAGAGAACAACTTGGTTATTTAATGGATTAGCAGTTAGAGTTTGATCGAGACTCCAATGCTTATCCGTAGTCGATTTGAGTCCTTAACCAATACAAACTCCCATCCTTATCCTAGCTTAGGATTGTGTTCTCTTATCATAAGGAGACTATCCTTCTTAGAACTCAATGCAACCTTTTTGATTTCATTCAGAAGATATTTGCTGCGTAATCTTCAATACATATCTTCCTCACGTGCCTTCCATGTGCAATGGTTATGACTAACTTTGTCTCTCAAGATGGACCAGGTCCTTCCCTGAGTTCATATGTCAATCTTCAAAACTTCAACTGAACTTGGGCCAACACATTGACTCAAAATATTTCATTGTTCTTGTTCTTCAAGTCCAAGGCACCAAAAGGTGTCACACCAACAATTTCAAATGGACCACTTCAATTTGACGTGAGCTTCCCGGGAAATATTCTCAACCTTGAGTTGAACAACAACATTAGATCACTGGCCTTGAACTCCTTCTTCCAGATATACTTGACATGAAGATATTTCATTTTTTCTTTGTACAAGGACGAACTTTCATATACATGATACTAGAATTCATTCAATTCATTCAAGTGTGCAACTCATAAGTTAGCGGCTACATTCCAATCAAGATATTTTCTTCAAGGCCCATATTGCCTTGTGCGCTAGTTCCACCGGAAGATGACAAGATTTTCTGAACACCAACTAGTATGGGGACATTCTGATAGGTGTTTTTTAAGTTGTCCTATATGCCCATAGAGCATCAATCTTCTTAGACCAATTTGTCTAATTTGCATTTACCTTCTTGGACAAAATACTCTTTATCTCCCCGTTAGAGACTTCCACTTGACCACTAGCTTGTGGGTAATAGGGAGTTGTCACTTTGTGAGTAACACTATACTTGCGAAGTCAATTGTTGAAAGCTTTGTTTCAAAAATGTGAACCTCAATCACTTATGATTACTCGCATGGTACCAAATCTTGTAAAAATATTGCTCTTCAAGAATGCCACCACATTTCTAGCCTTATTACTGGGTAAGGCAACGACCTCAACCCATTTAGACATGTAAACCACCGTGACCAAAATATAGGTGTTTTCACAAGAACTCACGAGAGGGACCATAAAGTGAATACCCTAAACATTAAAGGTATCAATATCCAAGATGGTTGTATGGGGCATCTCATGTTTCTTTGAAATTCAACCGGCCCGTTGACATTCATCACATCTTTTCACCAAACCATTTGCATCTTTGTAGAGTGTGGGCCAATAGAAACTACAACTTAGAACTTTAGACGCCATTCTTGCTCCACCATGATGAACACCATATGGCGAAGAATGACAAGCCCCAAGAATATCACCTGGCTCTTGCTCCGGCACACACCTCTGAATCACCCCATCCAGATGAATCCAGGAAAGGTGTGTTTCATTCCAATAGTAGTCTTGACAATCCCTCTTGAGCTTCTTTTTTTGGTTTGAAGAGAACTCACCTGGATTGATACCACTCATACAAAAATTTGCCAAATACGCGAACCACGGTACCTCTTTCATTGAAAGTGGCAAAAGTTGCTCATCCAGGAAAGAGTCATTGTTTCAAGGCCATCATGTGGCCTCCCTCAACCATGAAATGACATTTCTCCCAATTGAGTACCAAATTTGTTTCCTCACATCTAGCCAACACTTTGTCCAGATTAGCAAGACCATAATCAAATGAATCTCCAACCACCTAAAATTCATCCATGAAGACCTCAAGGTCGTCCTTTACCATGTTCGTGAAAATAGCCATCGTACACCGCTGTAAAGTCGCCGGTGCATTGCATAAATCAAAAGCCATCTGTTTGAAAGCAAAAGTACCATATGGACATGTAAAAGTGGTTTTCTTCATCTTCCGGAGCAATAAGAATTTGGTTGTACCTTGAGTACCCATCAGGAAAATAAAAGAAAGCCCAGCCGGCCAGCATTTGATCCATGAAAGGAAGAAAAAAGTTGTATACGGTAAAAATCAGAGGGCTCGATTTTGTGATCACTAGGGTGCCTCAAAAAAGACCACCCCCGGGAGGCTCGAAGTCTAGCTCGGAGTTCTCCCCCGAGGGTTCGTGATGATCAGACTCGAGGCAGTACAAACCAACGGCTGCGATGCACCAGCGGGAAGTTCCCAAGGCACATGATCAAGACTGACAAAGCCTGCAAGGGAAACACTAGCCTGTACCAGACTAGTAAGTAGTTGTTCTAGCTATGTTTCTTTGTAATAATTACTCATGTACTATGATGGGATTTCCCTCCTTATATAAGGGGGATCCTTGTCATTTTGTAAAGGGATCTGATACACAAGATACTTCATTCAATAGAAGAACATTCTTTCTGCTCTCTAACTTAAACATACTCTCTATTTGTCTCTATTGCTTACATTTATTACTTTATTTACATTTATTATATCTCATCAATTGTTCTTCATTTATTGCTTGTTATTGGTCATAAAGAGCCGCAATCATAGCCCTAATAGTTGTTAATTTCCCTTCGATCGCCCTCAGCCGGGCATCTGACTTGGCATCGAGGCCCCGCATGCGCTAGCTCGAGGCCCCGATTCTCAACCGTTTGGTTTGGTTTCTAAAGCCATCTTCAATCTCTTGTCTTATTCTCTAACCTCGTCACTTAGCATCTACTGCTTAATAACTAGCATAAAAGTAGATCACATATTTTTAGAACCACAAAATCAAATTTAATTGTTATTACCATTTTCAAGGTAAACAGTTTGGCGCCCACTGTGGGGCTAAAAATAATAGTAATTGTTTTCTTGGTGGTTTACTATATAATGCAAGTTATCTTTCACACTTTTTCTTGTCCAAGATCTTTGATTTTAGGTCAAAATGTCTAACTCAGTAAACGCACACGGAAACAACAGTCTTGAGGACCATGGAGAAAATGGTGTAGCTTCTCCAGGTGTTGGTGTACCACCTGGAAACCCTGAGGAGGCACAAGAACCAAATCCCGTGGACGCGGTATCGCGCGATGCCCAGCATGTCGAGACAAGCTCCGACACCAACAGGAGTATATACCAAGGAAACCAACAGGAGGCTCAAAAAACCCCGACTCAAGAAGAACAAGGGGTTAGCCTTCATGTCATTTTTGAGATGTTATAAGCAAAACAGCTGGCAATTGCTCAGCTGCAAAGCCACCAGAAAACTCCAAGCACAGTAGCACCAGGAACGGCTCACCAAGCCGAGCAAATTCCGAAAAGGTCGAGC